CTGTAACCCGCCCTGATTGCCATGCAGAGGGGCGGGCTATAAATAAAAGTTTATTATTATTATTATTAATTATTATTCAATGATTCTATGATTGTACATTTGCAATGTGATCCCTAGTGCCTCTTCCTATCCTGAATCTGGCTTGCACCTCTGAAATTTCTCTCTCCATGCATGGTTGGAGTCTGTGTTGCAGAACTTTGAGCATTATTTTGCTTGTATGTGAGATTAGTGCTATTGTCCTATAGTTGCTGCAGTCCTTTCTTGTGAATTGGTATGTATATTGATCATTTCCAGTCTGTATATTTTTTTTTTGAGACACTGAGCCTTCTCTGTCAGAGAGCTCTGATTCCACAATAAACTACAGTTCCCATGATTCCCTATCACTGAATCAGGGCAGTTAAAGTGGACTCAATTTGCACTATTTCTGGCAGTCTGCAAAGGCCCTAACTGAAAGAAAAAAGTTGGCAGCATGAGCTTTCATAGACTAAAGTCTACTTCCTCAGATGCAAATGTAGAGGGACCACTGTATTGTTGTTGTTGTTACTGCTGTTTCTACTACTAATCCGCCTCTCCCCACGGATGGAGCTACAACATTTAAAGTAGTACCAAACCGAACATACTAGAACAAATGACAGTACTTACCCATAAGGAAACCATACTTGCCCATGGAGAATCATTAGAGAATGCTTGTCCATAGGGATAGAATTCAAAGACACAGCCTTGTTAGTCTGTAGAATCAATATGTAGAGAGATCTTGTAGCACCTTTGAAACTAACTAAAAGAAAGAAGTTGGCAGCATGAGCTTTCATAGGCTTAGAGTCTATGGTTCAAATTCATCTGAGGAAGTAGACTGTAGTCTAGGAAAGCTCAAACTGCCAACTTCTTTCTTTTAGGGGGGTTGCAGACTGCTAGAAATAGTGCAAATTGAGTCCACTTTTAGGGTTAGGCTTAGGCTTAGGGAATCATGGGAACTGTATTTTATTGTGGCACCAGAGCTCTCTGACAGAGAAGGCTCAATGTCTCAAAAAAAGAAAACAATTCCCATGATTCCCTAGCACTAACCCTAACCCTAAAAGTGGACTCAATTTGCACTATTTCTGGCAGTCTGCAACCCCCCTTAGTCTCAAAGGTGCTACAGGATCTCTCTACATATTTACCCAGTGAATCGTTAGAGAATATTTGTCCATAGGGATAGAATTCAAAGATATTATTATTATAATTTATTATTATTATTATTATTATTATATAGCCGTGTTAGTCTGTAGAATCAATATGTAGAGAGATCCTGTAAAACTTTTCAAACTAAAAGAAAGAAGTTGGCAGCATGAGCTTTCATAGAAGAGTCTATGGTCCAAAATGCACCTGAGGAAGTAGACTGCAGTCTAGGAAAGCTCATGCTGCCAACTTCTTCATTTCAGTTAGTCTCAAAGGTGCTACAAGATCTCTCTAGTCTACATACTTGCCCATAGGGAATCATTGGAGAATACCTGGCCAAAGGGAGACACAGAATACTTGCCCAATGTCTCCCTATCGGCAATTATTGTCATTTGTTCTAGTACGTCCAGTGCAAAAGCGCATTACTTCCTCCCGTGCAGACGCGCCCACAAAAGGACCACCTCCGCCTGAAAGAAAGAAGCGCGTTTATTACCACAGAAACTTCTGAGGGGAAGTTTTATTTTATTTATTTATTTTTACCTCAGTCCTGCGGTAGAGGGTGGCCTCCCCGAAGGCCCCTCGGCCCAGGACGCGGATGGGGGCGTAATGGAGCTCCTCCTGCTCTCCGGCCAAGGCAGGCGGGGGGAGCCGAGGGGGACCGCCGCTGCGGCCGGAGGAAGAGTCGTGGTCGAAGTCGGAGTTGATGGAGTCGCAGTGCCGCTCGTACTGGTCCAAAGACATGGCTGCGGAGTGAGGGGCTCGGTCGGTGGGCTGGTTGTTTGGGAAGCTCCTGCTCCTCTTCTTATTTTACCTCAGAGGCCTCCTCTTCCTCTTCCTCTTCCTCCGCCTCCGCCAGAGAGACAGAGCGGGGTCGTGCTCTGCGCAGGCGCAGTCCCCTCTCGAGGCCTAGCGCTGGGCGAGGAAGAAGAGGGTCCCCTTCACGGGCCTCCCCTCCTCAGCCTCTTTCGGCCCAGGAAGGCGCCATCTTGGCGGAGGCAGAGGCGGGTTCCCCCCCCTCGCTGACCCGGAAGTACTTCAGCCTCGGTGCCCAAGTGGGGCCGGGTGCTGAGGGGAGACTGGAGGAGGATAAAAGCACTCTAAACGCATTGCATTAAATACCTTAAAGGCACCCCTTCTTGTCTGATTTGGAAGTTAAGCAGGGTCAGCCCTGGTTACTCATACAATCATAGGAGATTATCCCCCTACACCAGGGGTAGGCAACCTTTCCCCTTTAAGGGCCGAGGGACTTCAGCTCCCAGAATCCCAGGAGCTATTGGCCAACATGGCTGAGGCTTCTGGGAGCTGAAGTCCCTCGGCCCTTAAAGGGGAAAGGTTACACTACATTCTTAAAACTTTGCTGTTACATTTTTAACTGTTTTGGCTGCCTCCTGTTGCATTCTGGGTCTTGTAGTTGAGGAAGGGGCATTTAGATTATTCAGCCAGAGGGCTCTTAGGCCTCACCGAACTTCTTGTTAGCTTCCTTTGAGTTGGTTCCGACTCATGGCGACCCTGAGGATGAGACATCTCCAAAAATCCCTATCTTCCACTGCCTTACCCAGATCCTGAAAGCCCTTTTCGATAATCCCCGTTTGAGTCTATCCATCTGGTTTGTGGTCTTCCTCTCTTTCTTTCTTCTACCCTCCACCTTTCCTAGCATTATGATTTTTTCTAGTGATCCATGCCTTCTCATTATGTGGCCAAAGTATGATAGTCTCAACTTGATCACCTTAGCTTCCAAGGAGAGCCCTGGTCTGATCTGTTCAAGAACCCATTTGTTTGTCTTCTTGGCTGTCCATGGTATCCTAAGTACTCTTCTCCAGCACCACATTTTGAATGTGTCGATTCCCCCTCTTTCTGCTTTCTTCAGTGTCCAGCTCTCGCTTCCATACATGGTAATTGGGAATAAAATGGCTTGAACAATTCTGACTTTAGTGCTCAGTTATATGTCTTTGCTCTTCAGTATCTTTACCAGTTCTTTCATAGCTGCCCTTCCCCTTCCTAGTCTTATTTCTTGACTGCAGTCTCCATTTTGATCATTGTTTGATCCGAGATATCGAAGTTCTTTAACTATTTCAATTTCCTCGTTGTCTAGATTGAATTTGTGTATTTCTTCTGTGGTCATTGTTTTTGGTTTCTTACAGACCCCAAAATGCAACAGGAGGAGCCAGAGCAGTAAAAGTGGATTAGCCCCGTTTTAAGAGTATACTGTGATAATATACATAGAAGAATTGGAAGAGCCCCCCAGGGCCATCCAGTCCAACCCCATTCTGCCATGCAGAACTCACCATCAAAGCACTCTCCACAGATGGCCATCCAGCCTCTGTTTAAAGACCTCCAAAAAAAGGAGACTCCACCTCTTTCCAAGGGAGTGTATTTCACTGTCAAATAGCTCTTGCTGTCAGGAAGTTCTTCCTAATCTTTAGTTGGAATCTCTTTTCTTTTAGTTTGAATCCATTGCTCCATTGCCCTATTCTCTGGAGCAGCAGAAAACAAGTTTGCTCCATCCTCAATATGACACCCCTTCAAATACTTAAATAGGGCTATCATATCACCTCTTAACTGTCTCCAGGCTAAACATACCCAGCTCCCTAAGTCTCTCCTCATTGGGCTTTATGGTTCCCAGACCCTTCACCATTTTAGTTGCATCTGAGGAAGTAGACTTAAGTCTATCAAAGCTCATGCTGCCAACTTCTTTCAGTTAGGTCCAAAACACACTGCAGAAATAATCCAGTTTGAGACTGCTTTAACTGCCCTGGCTCAATGCTAGAACTCTACTTTTATGTGACATTTAGCCTTCTCTATCAGAGAGCTTTGGTGCTATAATAAACTACAGTTACCAGGGTTCCCTAGCACTGAGTCAGGGCAGTTAAAGCAGTCTCAAACTGGATTATTTCTGTAGTGTGTTTTGGTCCTTAGTCTAACATATGCTACAAGATCTCTCTACATACAGAAGAGATGAGTCTGAGAGCATGTGACTTGCCTAAGGTCACCCAGTGGGTTTCCACGGCAGAGTTTGGATTTGAACCCTGGTCTCCAGAGTCCTAGTCTGACACTCAAACCGCTATGCCACACATGGGGTGACCAGATGTCTTCATCGCAAAGGAGGACATGGCACCACATTCAAGGAGGACATTCAAGAAAAATTGAGAGCATGGCCAAATAAAAGCAAAAAACATTCATAGAAATATAATATGCTTCTTAGTCATGCTCATCGTGGAGGACATTTTGGAAGTCCTCCTGGACAGAAGGTTGAATTGGAGGACATGCCCTGGGAAAGGAGGATGTCTGGTCACTCTGGACTCAATGGGCTTGTTAGGGATGCTTAAAAGGATATTTTGGGGATTCCTGCTAGACAGAAGATTGAAATGTAGGACATATCCAAGAAAAGGAGGATGTGTCTGGTCACCATGGCCCTGCTGCCAAAAGAAAGGGGATGGAGTGGAGACAATGGTGTCACTGGGGTTGGGGCAGGGTGACCAGATGTCCTCACCACAAAAGAGGACCAGGCCCCATAAAATGGAAGGCATTCAAGAGAAATGGAGAACACAATCAAATAAAAGCTGAAAACACTCATATATTGTAAGTATAAATTAATGCTTCTTAGCCATGCTCCAAATGGAGAACATTTGGAACTCCTCTTGGACAGAAGGTTGAAATGGAGGATGTATCCTGGAAAAGGACATCTGGTCGGGCTGGGGCTGGAGCTGGAGTGCCCTGGTTTGGTAACTCATGGGGTCACCTCACCATTGACCTCCTTCCATACCACACCATTGTTAGTACTACACCAAGAGCCTTAGTGGTGAAGTGGTTAAATGCCTGTACTGCAGCCACTCAAGGTTGTGAGTTCTATACCAGCAAGGGTCTGGCATCCTTCCAAGGTCGCAAAAATGAGTACCCAGCTTGTTGAGGGCAATTAGCTTACACATTGTAAACCGCTTAGAGAGTGCTTAAGTGCACTGATAAGTGGTATAGAAATGTACTTGCTATTGCTATTGTTGTTGCAGTGTGCCTTCAAGTCATTTCTGAGTTATGGTGACCCAAGGTCAAACCTATTGTGGGTTTTTTTTGGCAAGTGTCTTCAGAGAGGGCTTTGCTACTGCCTTCCCCTGAGAGTGTGACTTGCTCAGGATCCCCCAGAACTTTTTATGCTCCATTGAGGAATCCAACCCTGGTCTCCAGCGTCTTAATTTTTTTGTTGTTAACTGCCTTTGAGTTGATCTCAACTCATGGCGGACCTATGGATGAGACATCTCCAAGACACTATGTCCTCCACTGCTCTGCTTAATTCTTGCAACCCCATAAAACTCATGACCTCCTTAATAAAGTCCATCTATCTGGCATGTGGCCTTCCTCTCTTCCTACTTCCCTCCACCTTTCCCAGCATTATTGTTTTATCCAAAGAGTCCCCTCTTCTCATGATATATCCAAAGTACAACAGCCTCGATTTGGTTCTCTTGGCTTCCAGAGAGGTTTCCGGTTCGATCTGCTCTAGGACCCATTTGTTTGTCCTTTTGGCTGTCCATGGGATCCTCAGCACTCTTCTCCAGCATCACATGTCAAATGCATTAATTTTCTTCCTATCATCTTTCTTAACTGTCCATACATGGTAATAGGGAATACAATGGCTTGTATTATTCTATCTTTTGTTCTGAGTTGTATATCTTTGCATTTTAATCCAATACTAAAAATTACTAGAATGAGGGCATTTCTATATAGATGTTAAAATCCCACCCCCTCTCCCTTCTGAATTGTTAAGTTGCACAGAACAACAATTATGGATCTGCTTCTTCTTCATGCTTTGAAGACCCAAATTCCATGGAGCATCCTAGTGAACTATGCACACAATGGAAGATCTCTGATTACACTGTGGACAAGGGTTTCCACCTCATTCCCTACATAGAAGTGCCTTTGCAGCCTATGAACTCACCTTGAAAGGCATACCCTATTGCTTGTACAGTATCTTCAGATAAATCCTCCACTTCCTTGAGTACTTTTGTTGTTGTGTGCCTTCAAGTCGTTTCCAACTTATGGCTAATTTGTCATGGGGTTTTATTGGCATTATGGCATTTCTGGTGTATATTCATCTTACTAAAAACCAGCGGAATAAGTAATTTCCTTTTGAGAGGCAGGCAGAAAATTGCTGGAGAAGCTATGGAAAGGGTAATTTTCTGCCCTCTCTAAAACAAGTAAGAGATATGGGCAAGCTAAAAAAATGCAGAAAGATCGCTACCTCTCACCTTATATTTCCTTAGTTTTCCAGAGAGAGATAATAGTGGCCTGCCTTAGAAGAAGTAGAATATTGCAACCAGCGGAACAGCACTGATACAACACGTTAGAAAGAATTTTGAAAAGCAAAAGGATTTTCTTTAGAGATGATCATCATAGCAGAGCATTTGCTTCACCTTTTCCCACAAAATGCACAGCGGCAGTAGGCACCCATCCACAGAAAGAAATTCAAGAGTAGCCATTGATAACAGTGGGAGCTATTTAAAGAAAGCCAGTTGAGATGACTGGATTCCACTAAAAATAATACAAAAGAATGTAAGACAGTCCTGCTAGATCAAAGAAGAGACTTATGTAGTCCAGCATTCTGTTCACCAAATGCCTCTGGAAATTTTCAGGCAAGGCATGCATGCCACTGCGCACAATGACTGGTGTTCTAAAGCAGCTGACCATCACTCTCCAAGGCACCATATTCCATTGTCAAATAGCTCCTACGTTCAGGAAATTCTTCCTAATGTTTAGGTGGAATCTCTTTTCCTGTAGTTTGCATCCATTGTTCTGGGTCCTATTCTCTGGAGCAGCAGAAAACAAGCTTGCTCCATCCTCAATATGACATCCCTTCAAATATTTATACATGGCTATCATGTTGCCCTTAACCTTCTCTTAAGAGCAGGCTCGCACTTTCAGATGCTGTTTTGGAGAGTCATTCTCCAAAATCAACAAGCAAAAAATCTGAAGTTTGGTACTCATTTTGTGGGGCTAAAATGTGAAATACTTTGGGTGTTTTTTGGAGCAAGATTATTAAGCAACCATTTTGGTTCATGCCAAGCTCTCCTGCCCCCCGATGTAAACTTTTATTTTTATCTGTTTCAACTTCTGTAAGCTATTTTTTGAGTCCCAAGAGAGGGAACAATACAGATTATGATGGATGATTGATGATGATGAGGGGAACTTCAGCATCTCTGCTGAGACTAACCTTTCAGGAGTGGCTCAGGACTTCATGGCCTCCATGACAACTATGGCTCTGTCCCAAGTGGCATCTAGCCCTACTCATGTTGCTGGGCATGCTCTGGACCTTGTTTTCTGTGCTGGGTGGAGTGATGATGATCTTGGTGCAGAGGAACTCTCCACAGACTCTCCAATGTCATGGACAGATCATCATCTGGTTAGGTTTAGACTTACTGGGACTCAGAACCTCTTCAGGGGTGGGGGACCAATTAAGATGGTCTGCCCCAGGGGGCTGATGGATCTAGTTGGATTCCTGAGGACTCTTGGGGAGTTTCCTGTCACCTTGACAGACTATTTTGTTGAAGGCCTGGCTGACCTTTGGAATAGGGAAATGGCCAGGGCCGTGAACACAATCACTCCTGAGTGTCGCCTTTTACGGAGTGGAGCCAAACCAGCCCTCTGGTTCTCCAGGGAGCTGATGGTCATGAAGCGAGTGAGATGGAGACTAAAGCGATGTTGGCGGAAGACTCAAAGTGAATTTGACTAAACACGGACTAGAACCTATTTGAAGGCCTACTCTGTGGCAGTGCAGGCAGCAAAGAAATTGTTTTTTGCTGCCAGCATTTTGCTGCACAGTGTAATCCAGCAGAGCTGTTTTGAGTGGTCAGGAGTCTTTTACACACTCACCCTCAAGTAGAAAATGCAGACCACTTGGAGGCCCACTGTGAAGAATTTGCACAGCATTTTGCAGATAAAGTCACTCAGATCTGCTCCGACTTGGATGCTACAGTTGATATAATGCCAGTGAATGTAACCTTGGCACCTGTCTGTTCGGTGTTAATGGTTACTTTTCAGCTTGTCCAACTGATGATGTGGACAGGATTCTTAGAGGTAAAAGCCACCACATGTGTCTTGGATCCTTCTTGGCTTATTAAACAGGCCAGAGGGGGACTGACTTGAGTAGGTGAAGGAGGTAGTCAATGCATCCCTACAACAAGGCAGAGTTTCACCTTGCCTAAAGGAGACAGATGTGAGGCCTTTGTTTAAAAAAGTCATCCCTGAATCCCACAATAATGAATAATTATCGACTAGTGTCCAACCTACCATTTTTGGGCAAGATTTTAGAACGTAGCTTCCCAACTCCAGGGGTTTCTGGATGAAACTAATTATCTAGATCCATTTCTGGTTTCAGGCCTGGCTATGGAACAGAGACAGCCTTGGTCGCCTTGGTGGATGACTTACGCAGGGAACTAGACAGGGAGTGTGTCCCTGTAGGCTCTGCTGGATCTCTCAGCGACTTTTCATACCATAGATCATGGTATCCCTCTGGACCACCTCTCTGGGATGGGGCTTAGAGGTACTGTTTTACAGTGGCTCTGTTCCTTCCTGGAGGGGCAAACCCAGAATGTGGTGCTAGGGGACTCCTGCTCAACCCCCTGGCCATTAGCCTGTGGGGTTCCTCAGGACTCTGTGTTGTCCCCTATGCTATTTAACATATACATGAAGCCACTGGGGGAGGTCATCAATATGCTAATGACACTCAACTCTACTACTCCTTTCCACCCCAATTCCAAGGAGGCTGTCATCTGTAATGGACTGGATGCGGGCAAACAAATTGAAACTTAATCCAGACAAGATAGAGGTGCTCCTGCTCAATCAGAAGGCAGATCAGGGAATAAGAATTCAGCCTGTGTTAGATGGGATCATAATCCCCCTGAAGACACAGGTTCGCAGTTTGGGAGTATTCCTGGATTCAGCTTTGAACCTGGAGGCCCAAGTCTCTGCAGTGACCAGAAGTGCTTTTGCACATTTAAAACTTGTGCACCAACTGCGCCTTGAGATGCCTGATCTGGCCTCAGTGGTACATGCCTTGGTTACATCCTATTTGGACTACTGTAATGCACT